TTTATATTCCCAATGTTTGACCCAAGCCTTATCCAAAACGACTTTATTTTTGAGTACGGAGGGAATATACTTCTTGCTTTCAAGAGTTAAATAGTTTTGAGTTTAACTAAATAAATCAATTGGGATCGTGGCAATGGTATACACGGTCCTTAATCCCAAGATGAAAGGGAGAGTGTGAATCTACAGAGCCAACACGACGCGCCATATTTGGTGCCACTAAAGTGTTGGTGAAGACTTTGATGAGAAATTTCTTAATTAGCATTGGAAAATGATGCAATTCCTTATTTGGTACGAAAGCTAAAAGTTTCCTAATATAACATTGGCTGCCGTTAGATCTGACATCTAAAACCATTAACTTGGAGGGGGAAAGACTGTTTTGCCCATGTTTTCATGTGTAGCACGTTGTCCAAAAATTGTGCTGTCATAATTCATAAATAATCTGTACAAAGAAATAGTACTGCAAAAAATGCTCAATGTAAAGAAAATGTATCCGTAAAATATATTCAATGTTAAAAATGGCACTGTTAAAAAATCAGTTAATAAAATCACTTTAATGTGCTGTTGGTGTTACACATGAAAAAAATAGGAGCAAAGTGGTCTTTTTCCCCATCAAGTTAAAATAAAGTGAGTGCTATATTAGGAAACTTTTTTGGTGCTAAATAGGGAGTTGCATCATTTTATGATGCTAAATAAGGAATTTTCTCAACTTTGATTCATCCAGCTCCAAGCGCAAGACCTGACTGCTCGAAGCCCGCGCTCGCGAGTCACGACTGCCACAGCGAGGGCACCGAAAAAGGTCCGTCTAAACTCTGAACGGGTGCTGACTCGTGGTTGCATTCAGTCCACATGAGCGGTACTCCTCCGTCACAAAATAAACACACGTATCGTTTACTGATAAGTAAAATTTTAAAGTTCAACTAAATATATAGAAAAATAAATTCATATTCATAATGTATAATAAGCATCATTGGGTTGAGCATGTAATATATTTTTATATAATATATATACTTATTTGGAGATATAAATGTTAATACTATTTTATATATTTCTAGTCAAACTTAAAAATGTTTGATTCCTCGTTGGGGTCTCCGCAATGGAGGGGTAAGAAGAGGGTAGTAAGGCCTTACGACTAGTAAGATACATTGGGAAGAAGAAAAGAAAACAGGTAATAGCACCATCGGGTAACAGCACTACTACCCGGTAATGAGGAATAAAAAAAATCATTCATATTTTTAAGTTAAACTTAAAAATGTTTGATTTCATAGGTATGTTGCAAGTGTTTTTTATCGACGTTGCAAAAGTAGATTAGGATGTTGCAAAAGTAGATCTGAGTGTTGCACATGTTGCAGTGGCTATACACGTATGTTTCAAATGTATGTTCGAAATGTTTCATCTGTATCAGACGTATGTTGCAAGTGTTTTCATCTGAATGTTGCATATACATGCATGTTGCAAGCATATGTTTTAAGTGTTTCATACTTCTGTTGCAAGTGTCTCATCTGGTTGTTTCATATGTTTCAAGAATGCATGTCACAACAAGGTCTGTATATGAATTTTTTTTTGGCAAAGCAGCCTTGTGTTTAGAAAATCCGAGGTGGAGACGAGAATTTCACTAGTAGTGTTTTTCTTGCTTGTTGGAGACGGAGAAGGTCAGACAACAGCCTGAGTGAGATTCTGAAGTTCCGATCGATCAAATGTTCACCACCAATTATGTATGGACTAGCACTTGCCAATTAAAAGCAGCACATGGTAGAGGTAGAGGAAGAGGATCCAATGCAACATGGACCATCCCTGTCAGATATTGAGCCAGAGCACTGTGTCTGTGCTAGTGCTAGTGTAGTGTGGTGTTCCTTCTCGCAAGGGAAATCAAATGGGGGACTATCATCATCGCTCCCCAAAAATCCCCCATTGGATCACAGTGTGACATGCCTATTAGGCTTTGCTTGGTTTGGGCCAAAAAAAAAAAAAAAAAAACATTACAGGCTCTAGGCGTGGAATAGGCCGGGAACAGAGCATTTTCTAATTGATTGTAATATGGCTCAGTGCGTTGGGAACTTGAGCGAGAAGGCTTGTCGAGCTTATTCATATGCGATCGAGATGCTGAGAGCTGGTCGGCGGAGATGTACATGATTGGTTGAAGGCTGATGTATCTAGCATTCGAAAAATTAATGGAGTTTATTTATGGATATGTCTTAGGCTGATGTACTTTGTTTGTTCTGATAGCTTGAGAAACTCAGGAACTCCTAGAATACGTTGCGTACAGCAGCCTGCTCTGATTTGTCTCTGCTCTAAATAAATCTAATGCTCTGTGCTGAATCTTGTATAAAACAATGGTTTTGCTATGAACTTTGTCTGAAAGCACATGTTTGCGCATTTTGTTATTGCAAAACGCAGCCATCGGCCAAGAAAAATTACCACAAAGTAATGAAATAGTCATTAATTAGAACCTACTTATTTTCCTTTCCAGTTTCCTAACATAGCAGGTGTTTTCGTCTTTTCTGAGAGCCTGCCGTGGAGTGGAGTCATCGCGGACTCTCCCTAACGTCCACCGCATATGCTTTTCGTCGCCGTAGAGGATGGGGGGTGTGGCGGCCATGCGTTCATATGGTGGCGCCGCCTCGCCAGCAGCGCCTGCGGTGGCGTCCAGGACGCAACCGTCGCGATGGCCGCGTCCATCAGAGAGGCGGCGGACACCCTCATGCGGGCAGGAGCAGCTAGCGGGGAACCGCCCCGGCCGGCACACGTGCTCACGCTGAACGTATCGGAAGAGGCAGGAGCTTGCGAGTCCAAACTCCCTCACGAGGAAATGGAAGGCAGGCGCAGGGGATGCTCCGAACACAGGTGCCCTGACCGTATACCGTAATTACAGGAAAATTCGGAAACGGGAAAATTATTCAGGAAAACGGGCGGAACCGGGATCGGAATCGGGCGAGCTATTTTCCCGACCGAATCCACGGTTACCGGATTTTAACGGGAAAAATCCCGACGGTATTCTCGTGTTTGCAGACGCCCAGCCCAACAGCCCGCTAGTCCGCAACTCCGGCCCAAGGATGAGTCGCTTCCTGTCCACTAGCCTGGCTTCATTTATAACTTACCTCCGTGCCAGTGCTGATTCAAAGGGCGAGGTGGGACTAATGCTTGCTGAGTGCGGGAGTGCGGTGTGCAGTGTGCAGCAGTGCCTCTGTGCACTTCTGCTGCTTGCGGCATGCCTGCCTTAGTGCCTTGTGCATGCGTGCCAGAAAAGAGGCAGGGACAAATGAGCTGATGCGCTGGTTTTAACTTTTTTTGTTTCTTTTATTCCCCATCTATTGTTTTCCTTTGTAGATCTCCAGGAGCAGCAATGTTTGGCCCTTTGTTCATTTTTCTTTTTCATTTTCTTTTTTTTTTTGGTAGTTCTATAGTTTTATTTGCATAAATATTCTGACGAGCTCACTAGTTGCTATTGTTTGCATAAGGATTATGCATGGTTGCTATTGTTGCATCGAGCTCACTATTTCAAGTGGTTACATATATCGATGTTCTCGTTTTGTGTTACCGCTTCCCGATCGTAATCGACACGTTCCCGTTCGAAATATTCCGTTCCCGATATACCGTAATACCGGATTCGTTTTCCCATCCGGCCTTCCCTTTCCCGTTCCCGGCCAAAAAATACGGGAGCGGGAATGGTTAAGACATTTTCCCGACCGTTTTCATCCTTACCTGTTCTGTTGGCTGATTCATGAAACATAAATTTACAAAATTAAAATTAAAAAAAAAAAACAAAACGGGTGTCCTGCCCTAAGATTAGGGGATGGCGGGGTCGAGAAGCGGGAGTGGGGGCGAGGACGAGGAGGACGTCGCCGGCGCACTGCCCTGTGTTTAGGGGGGTGGGCTCGAGCGGCGAGGGCAGCGCGGTCGGCGTTGAGGGAGCTGCTGGCCGGGGGCGTGAGCGAGGAAGGTGGGGGTGGCAGGCAGGGCACGAGGAACACAACGTGGGTGTAAAATGGATAGGTCGACGAATCTATTTTTATACCAAATTTACTTATAGATACAAATGTTTCTAATAAATTTTCTACAAACTTAATCAAATTTTCTCAGGTTTAACCAGTACGAATTACACCACGACATTTAGGGCGTCCGCAATGGTGCTAGCTACCTAGCCAGCTTATGTGACGATGAGAGACAAAAACAAAGACTATTTTATACTGAGTACATTCTCATTTTTCTATGTACTATTGGATCCATATATTCCTCTCTCGTATTTTTAGACTACGTATAATAGATTGGTTATTTGTTCATCGCTAATGACTATCTCTCCTAATTTTTTTTTCCAAGTAACGGGCCAAATAGCTACTAGATAGGTACTGTACGAGCGAGTAATTAATGAATTCATAGACGTCCGTGCCGACGGCGTTCACTTGCGTCCAGAATACGGTACCACCATGTGACAGCGACGCGTGATTGGTGATTTGTCAAGCGGTGGTAGGAGACAGCGCACATCACAAGGACCGTGTCCACCACGTCTGGCATGCATTGTGTGGTCCTTTGTCACGCGTCAGTCGTCAGTCGTCACATGCAAGGAGTTGACGTTGACGGGGACTCACCCGGTTTCAATCTGCTTCAGCAAACCTTGGCGTCCGACGACTTGCATAGAGAGACCCCGAATCCGAATAGGAGCCGGTTTCGGGTTGACCCTTCCGCGCACTGTAACATGACGTTCTACGTACGTCATATTGAGATCGTATTGAGACTCGTCTCGTCTGTCCACTCCTGTCACATCGGCCTAGCACCTCGGCCCTCAGAATTGGTCCAGACTCCAGATTCGCGCCAAAGCAGCTCCTTTTTTTTCTTTCTTTTCCATTGGCCATTGCCGCGTTATCTTGCCACAAGTGTGTACCCGCGTCCGTGCCCACTCCGCGAGACCACGGAAAAACGTCGAGCAGTGGGAGACGCGTATGCGCGCCGGCGCCGCGGCCCCATCAAAGCGTCCGTGCCCACTCCACTGAGCGGTCGAGCTGAGCATGGAGCTCGCCTCGGGGGCCATGGCCGTCCTGGCCCCCAAGCTGGGCGAGCTGCTCACGGCGGAGTACGTCGTGCAGAAAGGCCTCAAGCCCGACATCGAGTCCCTCTCCAAGGAGCTTGTGATGATGAAAGCCTCTCTGGAGGACTCGTCTCGGGTACCACCGGACCAGCTCACTGAGGTGGAAAAGCTCTGGGCACGGCAGGTCCGGGAGCTGTCGTATGACATGGAGGACACCGTCGATGACTTCATCCTGCACGTGGCTAATGGTGGCAAGTCTGCAACTGCCACCGACGCCAACGTCTTCAAGAAGATCCTTGGCAAGGCCACCGCTGCAATGAAGAAGGTCAAGCATCGCCACCAGATCTCCGACAAGGTCAAAGACATAAAGAAGCTCTCCAACGAGTTGGCTGAGCTCCGTGCCAAGTACACAGTTAGAGGCGTGGGAGCTGATCTTGCCGCGAGCACCGGCATCGACCCCCGTGTCCTCAATCTCTACGAGAAAGAGTCGGATCTCGTTGGCATCGAAGAGTCAAAGGACAGAGTCACCAGGATGCTATATATAGGGACCAAAGATGATGCTCATGCTCATGCTTTCGATCAGGACCTAAAGGTAGTGTCTATAGTCGGGTTTGGAGGATTGGGTAAGACTACGCTAGCCAAAACGGTGCATGATATGCTTAAGAAGCAATTCGGTTGTTCTGCTTTTATTTCTGTTGGTAGGACTCCTAATCTGACTAGGACATTTGAGAAGATATTAGTGGAATTCGATAAGTATAAGCAAGTCGACATGGCCAGATGGGATATAGAGCAATTTGGAAACGAACTGCATGAATTCTTAACGGATAAGAGGTATGTCCATGGCATTCACCGTCCGGTTTTAGTTCAATGTTTTTTATTTACTAGTAGAGTGTGAGCAGTGTATACATTCCTATTTTATACCAAGCCCTAAGCATGGGCATTTGGTTCATTCGGTGAAATCAGTTAGGAAAAATTTCAATTTTGACGAAATGTTAATCGAATTTCAGTTATGAAAAGTTTCAGTTTTGGCCAAACATCTAGAAAAATCTATGGAATTTCCAAATTTATATAGATTGGATTTTTATGTTGTAGCACAGGTTAAATTGGTTAACAAATATTCCTCTCCCATGGAGTGGGTTGCAATGTTTACTTGCTAGAATCATGTAGATGTTATCGTGCGTCTAGGCTTATTTGGATAGACTATACATATTTGCCAAATTATTCATAACTCTACATTCTTGTGTCAATTATAGGTACTTCATTGTTGTTGATGACATATGGGATGTTGAATCATGGAAAGCGATCAGATATGCCTTGAAGGACAATAATTGTGGAAGTAGAATTATCATGACTACTCGTAATTTTGAGGTTGCCACAAAAGCAGGAGAGGTTTACAGACTGAAACCTCTTTCTCATGGAAACTCTAAGAAATTATTCTACAAAAGAATACAGAGCCATAAAGGAGAAAGTGTTGATGGTGTATCAGATGAATTGTCTAGTAAAATCATAGATAAGTGTGGCGGCATACCATTGGCTATCATTGCAATAGCTAGTTTATTGGTTGAAAGACCATATGATGACTGGTCAAAGGTTTATGACTCAATTGGTTTTGGGAATGGAGACAATACAACGAAGATACTCTCATATAGCTACTATGATCTACCTTCTTATTTAAAACCATGTCTACTGCACCTAAGCATATTTCCGGAAGATAATTTCCTTGGTAAAAAGAGTGTCATTTGGATGTGGATAGGTGAAGGTTTTGTCCATCTTGAGAAAGAGGACGGCAGCCTATTTGAGGCTGGAGAAAGATACTTCAACGAGCTTGTCAATAGAAGCATGATCCAAACGATGAAAGACAGATATGATCCGTTCACACAATGGTTCCGTATTCATGATATTGTGTTTGATCTCATCAGCAAGTTATCGAGAGATGAAAACTTTGTTACGTTTTTGGGAAGCATGGAGCAACATGCATCTCCAGACAGTTTAAGGAGAGAGAAGAATACCAGCATTCCTCGTTCGGACAGCAAGGTACGCCGGCTGGCTGTCAAAAATCACCTTGTGCAACGCATCCGTGAAGACACCATGGACATGCCAGAGGTGATGAGGTCACTTAACATTTTTGATAGTAAGATTGAGGTTATGGCCCCACTTCATAGCTTCAGAGTTTGCCGTGTGCTATATATAGAAAACTACTACGTCCCGATTAGCCTAAAGCATATAGGGAAGTTGTTGCATCTCAAGTACTTAGAGATATCATCTTACACACCTGTTGATGAGCTTCCTAAGGAACTTGGGCATCTGAAGTCTCTCCAGACACTGTACTTAAAGAAAACAGGGCTAGACGAGCTGCCACCGGCTGTTTGTTCGCTTACACAGCTGATGTGCCTGGTAGCTATTGGGTTTAGAAGGTTGCCAGCTGACAGGATGGGGAGCCTAACATCCCTTGAGGACCTACGGCTAGACAGCGTAGTTGGTCGGAATGCCACTGAGGACCTGGTGGTAGCGCTTGGGAAGCTGACGAGGCTGAGGGTGGCCACTATCACCTTTTCCGAGGAACTAGATGAAAACTTGCAAAAAGCATTGGTGCAATCTCTTTGCAATCTGCAGGAACTCCGAGAACTAGTGCTTCATTCTACAGGATCACTGCAACAGGGAGCCAATGCGTGGGAAGACTGGGAGACACCTAGGCAGCTCCGTCAACTGCTTATACACTGCATCATTTTGTCACGGCTGCCTCGGTGGATCAATCGCTCCAGCCTGCCGTGCCTCTGCTCCTTATCTGTGGACGTGTATACTATTGAAAAACAGGACCTAGATAACCTGGAGAGATTGCCAGAGCTGACCTACCTTGAGCTAGTCAGTTTCAGCTGCCCTCCAGGGTATACTGTTGGTAAGGACGGTTTCAGGAATCTGAGGTTCTGCCGTGTGGATACAACGCTCAAATTTTCTATGGGCGCCATGCCAAGGCTCGAAGAGCTGCGGTTTAGAGTTAATGCAGGGTATTCGAGTGGGTTTGTAAATGATGTGCCGTTGGAGCAGTTCCCAACAAAGGATGAAATCGAAGATCTTGACTTGGGCCTGGATAACCTCCTTTCACTTGAGAAAGTCACCGTCACAGTCGACTGCTCGGGTGCTGCTACTGCCGCAGAAGTGCAGGAAGTGGAGGCCATGGTCACGCGTGCGGTGGAAAATCATCCCAACCGTCGAACTATAAAAGTGGATCGAGCACATGAAGGAAATATGTTATCTGACGAAGAAAGCGAGGATCTGGTGAGTCCCTATCTATTAAAAAATACGTTTAATTTGCGTGGGTACTATTTATTGACCTGTTTACTGCATTCGGCTCCTTGCAATTCTCAGCTTCAGCAACACATTCAACAATGTGACCGTGTGCTCTCGTCGAAGGATGAGCCTGATGCTTGGTTCATCGCCCACCTACGGTGGTACCGACTTCTTCAGAAAGCCGTTATTTCCATCGACTGTGCGGGTGCCAGCCTGTGTGAGGTGGAGAAAGTGGAAGCAGCTTTTAGGCATGCAGCCGAGGTTCACCATAACCATCCGACTATCCAACTGATCAGAACAAACACCGACGAAATGGTCTCCTCATCTGACCATCTCGACACAGAGGTAGCAGCCTGGATTGAATTTTTTTTCAGTAGTTATTAATGGAAACCTTAGCTTTGACTATATAACTTACCATCGGCGCTTATTTTTCCTTCCCAAACTCCAGCTGGATGACGATCATTTGCTTTGCAAACTCCAGCTCAGTAATTGATAACTCTTGTTTCTCCAGTCCTTCCAACCCAGCAGGTAAGTGTCTGTATGTGGATGTGTGTTATTGCTCCAAATTTTATTGCTCTATCTAGTTTATCACGATTCACTGTCATGTATACGTGTCAGTATGTGGATGTGTTTTTACATGTGCATGCTCAGTTGGTTGTTTACATGTGCATGCTCACACATGTTTTCTGTGTGTTGGAACTCTGAATGTGCAAATTGAAGGTACTTGGTTCCGAATACTAGATTGAGTGATTACATAATGCTGCATAGACAATCCCAATGCCAGAGAAAAATGGGTATCCAACAATGATCTTATACAGTGAGTGGTCGGTTTGTGTTGGGATAATGGATCCCATCAGAGTGAGTAGAGATAGAGTCTCCGCTTGGGTGAAGGCTCAATGCAAGGATGAGAACTCAGGTGGGCTCAAACACAATTAGGGTTTCATAAATAGCATTTAACAACCTCCCTTTTTACATAGGGTTCACTCCCCCCTTTTATAGGTCACCGTGCATGATGAGGTTCATTTACAATCGTGCCTTTAGGCAGTACAAGCATATTCTTGGGATATTCCCATACATAAGCAAACCTCCGAGGACATCTCGGGTCTCCTCCTTCACCAACCGCCTTGCTCTATGGGCCTTATCCCGCACCCATTGGAGGCCCATTTGCCATTTAGGATCCATGCACCATGGGAGATCCCCTTTCAGTCGCCGGAGGCCCTCATTTATTCCTGCCGCCTCCTGGGTCCTCCTGTCCGCCTCCGCCTTGATGGCCTTTGCCTTTGCCTTTGCCCTGCATCGAGAGTACGCCACTCGGGGCCTTCACCGTCGTCCTTGAGCCTTCGCCTGTCTAGGGGGCGCGGGCGAAGGCTTCCTGCATAATCCCTGCAGATTATTTCTCATATGATTCACAACATTAGTCTTTTCTGGTAGGATGGGTACTCAGCCTCCATGGCTCATATGTTTGTGTCCCATCAGTTTGTATTTTCCTGTTCTAATACGTTTATATTTTGTGAAAGCATGAGTATGTGCATCTCTTAATTATCCCTTCTTTTTATGCTCTTAGGAAAATTGATTTGTAATTTTAGGCACCGCCATTGTAGATGATGGCAGCTGGTTGCTCTGGCACCAATCATCCTAGATGATGCTATTAGCTCATGGATGATGGCAGGGTACAAGGCCTCTCGGCGCTTGTTTGCCATTGATCATCCTTGTGGGTCGGGGTGGTTCATTTTACTTGTTTGTGTTTTTTTTTTTGCTTGTGGTTATTGTATTCTTGATTCTCCTTAATGAAAAACGTTCTCAACAAGTTCTTGGAAGAAAATTTTCGGCACCAGCATTCTAGAACATAATCACCAACACAGCTTTTTTAGACATTCTATGAGTTTTCGGTTACTGGATGTATGCTCAGTTTCCTTCTTTTATTAAACAAAGTTTTCAATTTTTTCAAGCTAATTTGGTTGTTCTTGTTTCAGTTAGTAGACATCAAAGTTTGGTACAAATTAAAAGTTGATTCGCAGATAAAAAAAAAGAATAGCTAACCAACTGAAACGCACACACGTATGCTAATCAAACTGATTTCCTTATGGTAGCCCTACGATAAAAAGTGTGCTAATATCCGGAGAATAAATTTTAACAGGTTAATTGGTTTGATATGTCCTAAGATGATTTTAAGTTAAATGAACTAATCAAATCATCGAGGGAAACCAATATATCATGTACCTGGATGGTAGTTCATGTTTTAATCTTGTAATAGTGCTTTTCTAGATTGAATTGTTTTGGATTAGGTGTATTCCTTGGCAAAACCACCTTATCTCATTATGCTCTGCTTGAAGAAATTCTGCGGTTACATTTTCCTTTACATGGTTGCTCCATCATTTGCATTTCAACTTATTTACTATATATGCAAATCAACATTTCAGGTAAATGTGAGTTGTTTAAGCACTGAAGAGTGGTCCCATTGAGCAAGATGATTACAAGCATTCGGAGAGCTTGTCATATTTGTGTTTCTTACTCTAAAATCACATTGAAGAGGCAGATGAACCACAAGTGTGAACAATATTTGTCTCTATTTTTATAAGAAGGTTTATTTATTTCCTCGAAAGTGATCTTGTAGATTTTATGTGAAGTGTATTTTTTATGACATGGGCATGTATTTCCTTGAAAACAACCATGAGAGTTTGTATGTGAACTATACTTTTCCATTTTTTCTGAGATGAGTTGTGTATTTGCTTGAAAAACAAGGATGATATATTTTCCTTGAAAATAATCATGAGAACGTTTGAACTCTAATTTCTTAAATAAAGTGATCATCATGTATGTGTGATCTGAACCCTGTATTCTCAATGCCAACGTGTGGGTTTTTGGTGCAAGCTGTTGTTATAGCTTGTCTTTGTTGTCTCTATATTGTTCATATTGTAGCACAATATTCATCTAGGTATTTTCTTATCAATATTTGGTTGTGATAGATTTTAGTTACCAATTGCTTTCAGGGGCGGATCTAGAAACACCATCCGGCGAGGGCTAATTAGTAAAGGGTTGCTTGGGCTGGCTGCCGGAGGGGCTATGTTGGGCTGAACATAAGGGATTCCTATTGGCGGCAGAAGACCTGCCTGTAGGAAATTTGGGCTCCGCCCCAGGCTGCAGCCCCCCTAGCCCAGGGCCTGGATCCGCCCCTGATTGCTTTGCATATGGTTTGTAGTTGTCCACTTTGCATCGCACCTCAGTATGCGTTCACATATGTTTAATTGAAAATATCTCTGATTTGTTCATATTCTACTTTTCGATCATTGTTCATGGTTTTTTATTTGCATCACACATCCATGTGTGTTTGACGTGTGTTCAATTAATAGTCTTTCATGTGTCTGCATTCTAATAGCATACTTGAATCATATTTCGAATATTATCCGCTTATGATTGACTTTAGTTACTAATTATATTATATACTTTTTCACCCCTTATTCATATTTTCCATCTTTGCATACAACATTCACGTGTGCTTAGCTATGTATTTAGCTCAAAAATCAACATACTCATTGCTTTATACATATACATATATGGGTGGAGGTGGAAATTAGATGCAAATTTCGGTGAGTTACTTTTTATTAGTTTTCGTATTGGCATATATGAGTAATTTAGATGAAAACTAAGGGGTTACTAAGTTATTTTACATAATGACAGTGGTGAATTATTTAGATTAAGATTTAGAGGATTGTTACTTTAAAGTAATTTTAAAACGGCCAAGGTGAGTAGTATTTTTAGAAAAAAAAAACAAAATAGACCTAGGCCCTGTTTGGTTGAGTCGTGGTTTTTGAAAAAGTTATTGTGAGCTGTGACTTTTGAAAAAACTGCTGTGAGATGTCGACGACTGTGAGAAAGCCAAAAGCTGTTTGGTTCATCAGTAGTTGTGGCTTTTGTAAAAATAGTTGTCAGTCTCTCTCACTTAGAAGCAGACACCACATGTCTTCCACATGCCTCCCTACTCAACCCCCTCTCTCTTTCACGAGTGGACCCCATTCGCTAGGATCTTCTTCTTCCTCTTGACAGTACACAGATCTGCGTTGCTCCACATCCGGTGCTCTCCCGGCGAGGCTCCGCCAGGCGCCGAGGTGCTCTCCACCACCGAGGAGGGTAGCCCTAGAGCTTCGCCTTTGGCAAGGAGCCCCAGGGCCGCCCCGCCTCATAGCCCCCAGTGCCAAGAGGAAGAGAGGGCCACCGCCTCCATGCGAACCCGTCGGAGAGGAGCTTGTAACACCCTGCGTCCAAAATATGCTTATATGGCCCAGCTCCGCACGTAGAACGGGCATGGGCCTTCATACGCGTAGCACCTCTCTTACACTTTTGCCCTCGCTCCGTGTAAAAGGGTTAACCTGTAGGTACTACGTTTGGAACGACAAGGCTTATAAGCTGGCCCTCACCCTCCTAAACTTCTAAGATGATACTAAACCCACTAACTACAACCATATATGTGCCACTTGGGCTACATGGGCCAACTTCACAGCTACTACAGGCTACTAATGGGCTGTGGTGTTATAGAGCTGTTGGCCGGGCGTAGAGGGCGCCGCCATGCGAGCCGGCTGGAGGCGAGAGCTTCTTTCCTCGTGATACGTTATGGACCCGAATAGAAGAAAAAAAACGAATCGGTATCTTCATAACCAGTGGCAGGTGGGTAATTTTTCCCCCAAAAGCTAGTGAAAGCAAATGGAGAGATGCTTTTAGATTTGTACTACACTAAAAGCTACTTTTGAGCAAAAGTACATATGTCTTTTGGGCCCTTTGGTTGAGCTTTTGGCTTTTGGAGGCAAAAGCTACATCCAAAAGCCCAACCAAACAGGGTTGTCTTTTTATTTTTATGAGAAGTTTTATGATTTATTTTTAACGTATTTTGCGAGAATTAATACGGAGGTGACAATACTTGCTTTTTATGATATTGAGGAAGCTGTCCGTCCCTGAAATGATCTTGAGAAAATTTGTCTTAAGTATCGCCAATAAATTACCCAATCCCAAAATGAAAGATCACTGCTATATCTGTACTAGTTTTATTAATGATGTAATTCAGAATATACAGTAAACCTTTTGTTTTTTTAGAATTACATAGTACAACATAAACATCCACAACACGCACGTACACTCACCCATATGATCACACGACGCAAAACCCTACCCCTATTAGCACTCCAGAAGAACCGAGCCAGCAGATCTCGAGATTCACGAAGTCACCATCGGCGCCTCATTGTCGACGCAGGACATCGCCTGCCACTGAAAGTATAGTCGTTAAATTCTGAAATAAATTCAGGAAAATATTAGCACCCATGCCAAGTCGAGGACTTAAACCCAGGTGGACAGGTTCCACCACGAGGAACCTAACTAGGTCGCGTGAACCTTTCTTTATTGAATATTGATTATTGAAACATAATGGAAAATCATATGTTTGGGTGGTTGGCCGTGATTCATGATTCTTTTCGACACGTGACATTCAGGATTCACCCGGGTGCGCCACTTCATGGGATCATCAGGGTCTCAATCAAGGACGATGACGACGATGCCGAATTTGATGATGACGGAGGGACGTGCTTCCATTCTGCACTGCCGGCAAACGAACGAACGATGCGATGCGACTGTCCCTGCATCTGCATGTAATGTAGGTCGGCCGGTTTGGCCTAACCAATTAAACAACAGGCACAGCAGCAGGAGAAAAAGAAAAACCAACACGAACGATGCCACGGGGAGTCCATGCAGTCTACAACGTGGATTAGCCCCTGGTTCCCTTTGGCTGAATGTGAGAAAAAAGATGGTAGCTTTTGCTAGGGACGAACAGCTTTCCCTGGAGAGGGCAACGGTAATGCTATACTGCGGGCATCCATTCGTCTGGATGCTCCTTAGTGGGCTACGACGCCAACCCAACTATCCCTCTCATCCGCTCGGGAATTTCTCAAAGAAAAAATACTCTTGTCCAGTCCTATCCTCTCGTCCACTCTTTACTATCTGCTCCACTACTACAAAAACTTTACTGGAGGCGGACGTTTTTGGTTTTTCATGGCCAGGCAAAGCCGTCCTTGTGACCTAGAGGCCACGGTAAATCGTGGCTTAACATGCTGGGCGGGCTTTGAATGGATCCGCCGCCGGGGTCTCCACCTTGCCGGATCTGCCGCCGGGCTACATCTGGGCCCACGTTGGACCTAGATCCCACCACCGTCGTCGATCCACCATGCCGCCGCAGTGGCCCGGATCCGCCGCCGTAGAGGACGCCACGGACCGGATCCGCCGCCGTAGAGCCCTCCACCGACGAATCAACAAGTGCTGGGGCCGGATCCGCCGTGGTGGAGGCGGCCTCCGGCGGATCCGCAAGCACCGGAGCCGCAGCCCGCCTCAAATCCGTCCGCTGCAGTCCATCGCCGCCGGATCCCCATGCCACCGTGGCCCCTTCTCGCCGTGCCGCTCTGCACCTCCTCGTTCTTGCCGTGGTGGCCCAACATTGCGCCGCCAGTGGCCCTCCTTGCGCTATCTCGCCCGGCGTTGTAGGCGGGCCCCAGCCCCACTATAGCCGCTCCTCGCGCGGCACTGGAGGAGGGAGAA